CTGAGCAGCCCCCCACTCCCTGGACCCCCAACATCCAACTCTCTGTCCTGAGTCCCCCATGCCCTCCACCCCAGTTCCTGCACCCCTCCATGAACCTCCTCCCCCGGCCCTGAATCCCTCGCCCACAACCCCGACTCCTGCACCCCTCTGCAGTCACCCCAACCAACAGCCCTCATCTGTGGACTACTCTTTATCATCACTTACTCCTTACAGTTGTGTACTTATGAACCCTTTTCTACTATTTTCCCCAGAAAGCGGGTGCGTTGAAATGCAGAGCAGGCTCAGGCTCCGGGGCTGGTTCGTGGCCCTCTCCGCCATGGGACACGGCCGACTGTAACAAACTCACGCTAGCCCAGGGTGAGATCACACCGCTCTGGGGTCCTGCGCTGGGCAGCTGGGGGAAGCGGCTGGATCCTCTGGATGGCTGGTTGATAGTGACCAGTGAAAGCCGGCGTGTGTCGGCAGCTGGGTGTGCTCCTGTCTGGGTGGGGCTGTGCTAGTGCAGGGCCTGGAGAGGCGGCTCACGTCTGCATGCCTGAGGGCTCAGCACCCCGGGGAAATCCATCTCACCCACCCAAGGAACGACCCCGTGCTCCAGGGCCGGGAAAGCTGCAAACTTGCCCCCTCCCCCTCCTCTGAGTTGTGGGGCCAGGGAGGCTGAGGATGAATGTTCTTCTTCCTCCCCATGCTCTGGGTCTGGGCAGGCTGCGGACGTTCACGCACTGCCTCTCTGTGGTGGGCCCTGGGGAGGCGGCTTGGCTCCTGTGGGGGGCAGGGTCTCAGTGGAGGGGAGGGCTGGGGGCTCACTTCCCCCGGCCTACCTTCCCCGCCTGCCCAAGTTTCTTCTCCTGCGTTCAGTTACTGAGGAGAGACCACTGTGACAGCAGAGCAGTCGGGACTCCTGGATTCTGACTCTCTGTACGACCTTGGCCAGATCACACCACCCCATGCCTCAGTTTAGCTATCTGTACAATGGGGATAGGGTCACGGCGACTTTCTTTTGCTGGGTGATTTGAGAAGCCTTCCGTGAAAGGGGCTGCACAGAGCAATCACGGTTACTGGTGAGCATCACCCATCTCTGATCTGCTAGTGCCATCTCCTTGCTCCTGCAGAAATTGTCCGTGTCAACCCTTTTCACCTGTTTGCAGCCCTGTCTGTCTGCCATCTCCCCAGCCCTCCTGGGCCCTTACAAGGTATCGACCGTACGGAGATCTGGGCATTATCCCTCGGCTTCTTACCAATAAATAAACACAACACACAGAGCCCCAGTTCCTCCCTGCCTCAGCCCGGAGCCCAAGAGTTCTCCTCCCGCTTGGGAAATGGCCCTTAATTGCTCTTTACATATAAAGCTCAATAATTAGCCAGCAGCTCAGACAGGCTGGGCTCCAGCCACACTACTGGAAGCCGAGCGGGTCCCACGGGGGCTGTACAAAGCTGCAGTATAAAGGAGGCACAATCCGTGCTGGCTCTCGGCGTGGGAGGCTGCTGCAGATGCTGAGGTGAGAGGGGGGTGGGATGCAGCTGCCTGAGGGGGACTCCCAAGGAAGACCTGTCCCACTCAGCATTCACAAGGACCCTCTCTGGCCGCGGGGCTCCCCTGCTGCGCACACCCAGGGCTCTGCAGGCGTGATGGGACAGGAGTCTGTGGCCCTTTCCACTCTGCACAGCCAGTAAACACCCCGGGGCTCTTGCCACAAGTCATCGAATCATAGAACACTAGGACTGGAAGGGACCTCGCGAGGTCCTCGAGTCCAGTCCCCTACCCTCATGGCAGGACCCAGTACCGTCTAGACCAGGGCTACTCAACATGTTTGTTTGTTTGTGGTTGGGTTTGCATGGGGATCAACCCACGGCCCACGGGTGGGGTCTTTTGAACATGTCTTCCCTGGGAAGATGCTCCACAGCAGCGAGGCATCTTCCCGGCATAGTGAAAGAAGCAAGCAGACGGGCTGGCTGGAACAGACAGGTACAGGGTGTCGGTGTTTCTAACCCCCAGGGAGGAGGTGCCGGGAGCCCTGGGGCATTGTGGGTAGTGCTGGCTGCTTAGCCTAGTGGGCAGAGCCTGAGAGGTGCTGACTGGCTCACACTGGCCACGTTTGGGTCCAGCGCCGTGGCCGGGCAGCCCTGCCTCCATCCCATATGGCGCGATGGACTCCTGAGTGGGGACGTCAGCCCCTCTGGGAATCCAGGACAGGGTTCATAGAATCATAGAATAATAGGACTGGAAGGGACCTCGAGAGGTCATCGAGTCCAGCCCCCCGCCCTCAAGGCAGGACCAAGCTCCATCTACACCATCCCTGACAGATGTCTATCTAACCTGTTCTTAAATATCTCCAGAGAGGGAGATTCCACCACCTCCCTTGGCAATTTATTCCAATATTTGACCACCCTGACAGTTAGGAATTTTTTCCTAATGTCCAATCTAAACCTCCCCTGCTGCACTTTAAGCCCATTACTCCTTGTCCTGTCCTCAGAAACCAAGAGAAACAAATTTTCTCCTTCCTCCTTGTGACACCCTTTTAGATATTTGAAAACCACTATCATGTCCCCCCTTAATCTTCGTTTTTCCAAACTAAACAAGCCCAGTTCATGAAGCCTGGCTTCATAGGCTTCTCTAGACCTTTAATCATTCTTGTCGCTCTTCTCTGTACCCTTTCCAATTTCTCCACATCTTTCTTGAAATGTGGCGCCCAGAACTGGACACAGTACTCCAGCTGAGGCCTAACTAGTGCAGAATAGAGCGGCAGAATGACTTCACGAGTTTTGCTTACAACACACCTGTTGATACAACCTAAAATCATATTTGCTTTTTTTGCAACAGCATCACACTGTTGACTCATATTCAACTTGTGGTCCACTATGACCCCTAGATCCCTTTCCGCCATGCTCCTTCCTAGACAGTCGCTTCCCATCTTGTATGTATGGAACTGATTGTTCCTTCCTAAGTGGAGCACTCTGCATTTCTCCTTATTAAACCTCATCCTGTTTACCTCCGACCATTTCTCTAACTTGCTAAGGTCATTCTGAATTATGTCCCTATCCTCCAAAGAAGTTGCAACCCCACCCAGTTTGGTATCATCTGCAAACTTAATAAGAGTACTCTCTATCCCAATATCTACATCATTGATGAAGATATTGAACAGTACGGGTCCCAAAACAGACCCTTGAGGAACTCCACTTGTTATCCCTTTCCAGCAGGATTTAGAACCGTTAACAACAACTCTCTGACTACGGTTATCCAGCCAATTATGCACCCACCTTATCGTGGCCCTATCTAAGTTATATTTGCCTAGTTTATCAATAAGAATATCATGCGAGACCGTATCAAATGCCTTACTAAAGTCTAGGTATATGACATCCACCGCTTCTCCCTTATCCACAAGGCTCGTTATCTTATCAAAGAAAGCTATCAGATTAGTTTGGCATGACTTGTTCTTCACAAACCCATGCTGGCTATTCCCTATCACTTTATTACCTTCCAAGTGTTTGCATATGATTTCCTTAATTACCTGCTCCATTATCTTCCCTGGGACAGACGTTAAACTGACCGGTCTATAATTTCCTGGGTTGTTCTTATTCCCCTTTTTATAGATGGGCACAATATTTGCCCTTTTCCAGTCTTCTGGAATCTCCCCTGTCTGCCATGATTTTTCAAAGATCATAGCTAAAGGCTCAGATACCTCCTCTATCAGCTCCTTGAGTATCCTGGGATGCATTTCATCAGGACCTGGTGACTTGCTGACATCTAACTTTCCTAAGTGATTTTTAACTTGTTCTTTGTGTATCCTATCTTCTAAACTTACCCTCTCTCTGCTTGTATTCACTACGTTAGGCACACCTCCAGACTTCTCGGTGAAGACCGAAACAAAGAAGTCATTGAGCATCTCCGCCATTTCCAAGTTCCCTGTTACTGCTTCTCCCTCCTCACTAAGCAGTGGGCCTACCCTGTCCTTGGTCTTCCTCTTGCTTTTAATGTATTTATAAAAGGTCTTCTTGTTTCCCTTTATGCCTGTAGCTAGTTTGATCTCATTTTGTGCCTTTGCCTTTCTAATCTTGCCCCTGCATTCCCGTGTTGCTTGCCTATATTCATCCTTTGTTAGTTGTCCTAGTTTCCATTTTTTATATGACTCCTTTTTTATTTTGAGATCATGCAAGATCTCCTTGTTAAGCCAAGCTGGTCTTTTGCCATATTTTCTATCTTTCCTACATAGCGGAATTGTTTGCTTTTGGGAAACAGGTTCATGGGCACCTGGCCTTTTTTGCCTCTCGTGTCTGGCCTGACTCTTTCAGCTCCCTGCCCGCCGCAGGTTGGAGCGTGCTGGCTTGGAAACATTTTCTGAAACACCCCCCCTGCAGCGTCAAGCTAACCCCCCAAATCACGGGTCTACAATTTTCATTGTAAAATCACTCATTAAAAGTGCTGTCATAAGGGTGGAAATCGGGTAACTATTACAGTTTACTAAGATCAGCAGAAGTGACTTAAATGGGGCCCGTGTGTTGCGTAGTCTTGCCTTAATCATATTCATGCCCATCAGCATTACGAGCAGGCTTCCATCGGGGGACCAGTGACCTAGGCTTCCGTCGAGGGACCAGTGACCTAGGCTTCCGTCGGGGGCCGAGCAGCCCCAGGAAAACAGGTGCCAGTATGCGCGGAGGAATTCCCATTCCCTTTGTGTGAGCTGGGAAAAGTACGTCGTTCCAGGCTCTACCGTCATAACAAAGCAGTGGCTGTGAGTATCATTGTGGCCCCTGGGCTTCCGAAGTCGAGTAGCCCTGGTCTAGATCACCCCTGATACATGGGTGTTCTATGAGTCTATCTGCTTCACCCATGAGAATGACCGCCAGTAGTGCATGTTGTGGCTCCAACTAACATTGTCTCTCCAACCAGGTGTTGTTACTGCAACCATCCCCCTACACTCTGGCCAGCCATAGGAAGTCCAGGGAACGTACAGTGCATGCAGGAGACACCGTTCTGCCTCACAGTTGGATAATTTCTCCCCTACTTCATGTCAGATTCTAACAACACCGAATTCACCAGCCCCTCCATCTTCATCCTGCAGGGCATTCCCGGCCTGGAGGCAGCCCATGTCTGGATCTCCATCCCCTTCTGCATCATGTACATCACAGCGCTCTTGGGGAACTTCACTGTCCTGTTTGTCGTGAAGACAGAGCCTAGTCTCCATGAGCCCATGTACTATTTCCTGTGCATGCTGGCTGTCACCGACCTGGTCCTGTCCACGTCCATCCTGCCCAAAGCCCTCAGTATCTTCTGGTTCAATTCCAGGGAGATCGATTTCAGTGCCTGCCTCACCCAGATGTTCTTCATTCACAGCTTCACAGCAATGGAGTCGGGGATCTTGGTGGCCATGGCGTTGGATCGGTACGTGGCCATCTGCCATCCCCTGAGACATTCCACCATCCTGACAAACCCTGTGGTGGCCAAAATTGGTCTGACCATGGGTCTGCGCAGCAGCATGCTGGTACTACCCTCTCCTTTCATGGTAAGGCTCCTGCCATATTGCAGAACCAACATCATCCCCCACACATACTGTGAGCACATCGCCATAGTGAAGCTGACTTGTGCTGATATCCGTGTTAGTAGTTACTATGGGCTCTTTGTGTTATTCTTTGTGTCTGGTCTGGATGCGTTTTTTATCACGGTGTCCTACACCCAGATCCTCAGGGCCATCTTCAGCCTCCCCACCAAGGATGCCCGGCTCAAGACTTTGGGGACCTGTGGCTCCCACTTTTGTGCCATCTTAGCCTTTTACATCCCATGTCTTTTCTCCTTACTCACACAACGATTTGGCCACAATGTGCCACAGCATTTCCATGTTCTCCTTGCCAACCTGTACCTGTTGGTTCCCCCCATGCTAAACCCCATCATATATGGGGTGAGGACCAGACAGATCCAGGACAGGCTGCTCCATCTCTTGACTCCCAAAAGGGCCTAATGTTTTCTCCTGGGGCTCTGGCTCTCGGGCTGAGCTCTGTTCAGAACTGGCTGGTGGCAGGGTGCTGGGCTCTCTTCCCCGAATCACACTCTGGACAGTCCAAGTGTACAGGGACACCCAGCCGAATAAGTGATAAAATAGTTTAAAACAAGAGTGAAAGCAGAACAACGGGTAGTGAATGTTCGGTGGGAAGTCCAAGGGGAGGTAGCAAATGTGTCATTAGTGTGTAAGATGATACGTACGGTGTGTATCATAGATTGTTCATTTCTGTCTATAAATGTTGGGTTACTTCGACTTAATTCTTTGGCCGGCCGAGGGGGCGTCATGATCATGAGAAATGACCAGCAGCCTGGGGATTAAGGGGTTAACTCTACCTAATCCAGGTAGAGTTGGCCAATAGGAATGTAGGTGGGAATTTCAAACTGAGACAAAGGAATATGGTTTTTTTTTCTCTCCTTTGTCCCTGGGCAGTTTCTCTTCAATTACTGTGGGAGACAGACAGAATGTCTCCTTCCGAGAAAAGACTCTTCACAGTAAGGCTACGTCTAGACTGCAAGCCTCTTTCGAAAGAGATTGTCTAGACTGCAACCTCTTCTTTCGGAAAAGCGAGCTGCTTTTTCAAAAGAGAGCACCCAGGCCATCTGGATGCTCTGTTTCGAAAAAGCCCTGTTTGCATTCAAGAACGCCTTTTCTCGAAAGAACACTTTTGAAAAAAGGCGTTATTCCACGTGAAATGAGGATTACCACCATCGAAAGAAAAGCCGCGTTCTTTCGATTTAATTTTGAATGAACGCGGCTGTAGTCTAGACGCAGGTGAAGTTTTTTCCGAAAAAAGGCTACTTTTTTCGAAAAAACCCAGCAGTCTAGACACACACTAAGTAAGTAGGGTAAGGGTTAGATAAATCCATTAGGTTTTATTGTTTTATGGGAAATGGGATCTGATGTCTGTGCATTTAAAAATGGGTTTTTCTCTCCTTTGAAATGAAGTCTTGGCTCATGGGCGGTTCCCCCATGAGTATATTAATTTGTGACCCTTCCATCTAGTAATTATGCTTGCAACAGGAACATTGCTGTGATGATAAAAGTTCTTTCTCTTTTCTTTTTATTAACCTGGCATTGGTTAATTTTTGTGTCTTGGTTTTTACGGGTATGTCTATACTACCCCGCTAGTTCGAGGTGTACTGGTAGTTCGGAAGAGGCATCCTAGTCCGAACTACCTAGTTCGAGCCCCGTGTAGCCGCGCTGCACGGGGTTCGAACCAGCGGGGATTTAAAAATGACGGCTCCCCGCTTATGCAAATGAAGCCCGGGAAATTCAAATCCCGGGCTTCATTTGCAAGTGCGGTATGCCTACATTACCCTCCTAGTTCGAACTAGGAGGGTAGTGTAGAAATACCCTACTTTAGGAGTGAGATTTCCCAAGCGATCTCTCTCCTGATTTTCTTACCCTTACTTGGCTGGTGGCAGCAGATTTTATCCCCAACTCTAGGTTTTTAAGATTGTGTGGGGACGTTTTAAACCAAAGCCAGGAAAGATAAGGATTTGGGGTACTTTTGCGGGCCCCCACTTCTGCATTCATCATGCCAGAGTGGGGAAGAAGCCTTGACAGGAGGCGACAGTAAAACCCATACTATTGACTGATCCAGTCCATTGTCCTGGGTACAAATGCATAAGGGCTTGGAGGCCATCTGGCCATCGCCGACTATGAATGTACTTTGGTTTACAATAAACTCGACTCGGTGCCTTCCTATTTTATCTGAGTCTCTGGTCTCGTGAAGTTTATTATGCGAGCGACTTGCGCAGAATTGGCATGATCTACAGAGGGAGCCTACGAAACCGCACGCAGCTGAACGTTTATCATCACTGACAGAACAAGAGTCCTGTCAGGACACCGCACCAGTGAATCCTGCATTGACTGTGTCGCTGTCCTGAGCTACTAACCCACAACTCTCCAGCGAGGAATCGGCCTCTGTTCTTCCTCTCCCCCATGAGAGCCTGCCCTTTCCACTTGCTCCTGTTCTTCTTCCCTCACTCGCTGGCCCATCTCCCCCTCCCCATGCTGCAAGGGAGCCATGTCAGATTTCATTAAGGGGGGAGAGAGGCATTTAACCCTCATGCCAGTGGCTACTGAGGCATTTGAAATATCTGGTGTTACGACAGGTAATGTAGCAGTTCGCGACAGACGACCTGTAATTAATTCCAATAGAAATAGAACAAATCCACTAAACTCTACTACTGAGGTGATCTGATGGCGTCTGGCTTCTCCCTCAGGGATGCTGGTTGAGTGTCATATTTTTACCCTCTCTTTTTACTGACTCTGAAGAGAAAGAGACCCCACTGGGCCTGCTTGAGAAAAAGACCCCGCTGGGACCTCAGCTTTGCTGGTGAGCTCAGCAGCAGGCAGGTGACAGGGGCTGCGGGTGACATGTCCCCACATGGGTCAGCCACTGCCCCACCTCCCCTCAGGCACACGTTATGGAGCTGGGGGGGGGAGGGCACTTGCCTGTGCTGGAGTTGCTGCTGTTCCTCTTCCATTGCTGTCAGGGGTGGGGGAAAGTGCCGGGCGTCCCTGTATTCCTCTCCCTCCCGACTGGGGTGGGCCCTCTTTGCCCCCACACTCCATGCAGACACCATCCCCTGTCCTGAACCCATCACACTCACAGCCCCGAATCCTGTACCCCTCCACATGCCTCCTCCCCCTGCCCTGAGCCCTTCACCCCCACCCGGACTCCTGTCCCCTCCACACACCTCCTCCCCCTGCCCTGAGCCCCTCACCCCCGCCCGGACTCCTGCACCGTCCACACACCTCCTCCAGTGAACAGCCCTAATCTGTATTCTATTCATTATCCTCACTGACTACCTGACTTTTTTGTACTTAGGGACTCTTTCCTACTATTGTTTGTTACCTAAAGCAGCAGGTTCTTTGAAATGCAAAAGGGAAACAGGCTCCGGGCCTGGGGCTGGTGTGCGACCCTCACCACAGTGGGACAGGCAGAGAGTCTGTGATAGAATCATAGAATCATAGAATAATAGGACTGGAAGGGACCTCGAGAGGTCATCGAGTCCAGCCCCCCGCCCTCAAGGCAGGACCAAGCTCCGTCTACACCATCCCTGACAGATGTCTATCTAACCTGTTCTTAAATATCTCCAGAGAGGGAGATTCCACCACCTCCCTTGGCAATTTATTCCAATATTTGACCACCCTGACAGTTAGGAATTTTTTCCTAATGTCCAATCTAAACCTCCCCTGCTGCACTTTAAGCCCATTACTCCATGTCCTGTCCTCAGAAACCAAGAGGAACAAATTTTCACCTTCCTCCTTGTGACACCCTTTTAGATATTTGAAAACCACTATCATGTCCCCCCTTAATCTTCTTTTTTCCAAACTAAACAAGCCCAGTTCATGAAGCCTGGCTTCATAGGCTTCTCTAGACCTTTAATCATTCTTGTCACTCTTCTCTGTACCCTTTCCAATTTCTCCACATCTTTCTTGAAATGTGGCGCCCAGAACTGGACACAGTACTCCAGCTGAGGCCTAACTAGTGCAGAATAGAGCGGCAGAATGACTTCACGAGTTTTGCTTACAACACACCTGTTGATACAACCTAAAATCATATTTGCTTTTTTTGCAACAGCATCACACTGTTGACTCATATTCAACTTGTGGTCCACTATGACCCCTAGATCCCTTTCCGCCATGCTCCTTCCTAGACAGTCGCTTCCCATCTTGTATGTATGGAACTGATTGTTCCTTCCTAAGTGGAGCACTCTGCATTTCTCCTTATTAAACCTCATCCTGTTTACCTCCGACCATTTCTCTAACTTGCTAAGGTCATTTTGAATTATGTCCCTATCCTCCAAAGAAGTTGCAACCCCACCCAGTTTGGTATCATCTGCAAACTTAATAAGAGTACTCTCTATCCCAATATCTACATCATTGATGAAGATATTGAACAGTACGGGTCCCAAAACAGACCCTTGAGGAACTCCACTTGTTATCCCTTTCCAGCAGGATTTAGAACCGTTAACAACAACTCTCTGACTACGGTTATCCAGCCAATTATGCACCCACCTTATCGTGGCCCTATCTAAGTTATATTTGCCTAGTTTATCAATAAGAATATCATGCGAGACCGTATCAAATGCCTTACTAAAGTCTAGGTATATGACATCCACCGCTTCTCCCTTATCCACAAGGCTCGTTATCTTATCAAAGAAAGCTATCAGATTAGTTTGGCATGACTTGTTCTTCACAAACCCATGCTGGCTATTCCCTATCACTTTATTACCTTCCAAGTGTTTGCATATGATTTCCTTAATTACCTGCTCCATTATCTTCCCTGGGACAGACGTTAAACTGACCGGTCTATAATTTCCTGGGTTGTTCTTATTCCCCTTTTTATAGATGGGCACAATATTTGCCCTTTTCCAGTCTTCTGGAATCTCCCCTGTCTGCCATGATTTTTCAAAGATCATAGCTAAAGGCTCAGATACCTCCTCTATCAGCTCCTTGAGTATCCTGGGATGCATTTCATCAGGACCTGGTGACTTGCTGACATCTAACTTTCCTAAGTGATTTTTAACTTGTTCTTTGTGTATCCTATCTTCTAAACTTACCCTCTCTCTGCTTGTATTCACTACGTTAGGCACACCTCCAGACTTCTCGGTGAAGACCGAAACAAAGAAGTCATTGAGCATCTCCGCCATTTCCAAGTTCCCTGTTACTGCTTCTCCCTCCTCACTAAGCAGTGGGCCTACCCTGTCCTTGGTCTTCCTCTTGCTTTTAATGTATTTATAAAAGGTCTTCTTGTTTCCCTTTATGCCTGTAGCTAGTTTGATCTCATTTTGTGCCTTTGCCTTTCTAATCTTGCCCCTGCATTCCCGTGTTGCTTGCCTATATTCATCCTTTGTTAGTTGTCCTAGTTTCCATTTTTTATATGACTCCTTTTTTATTTTGAGATCATGCAAGATCTCCTTGTTAAGCCAAGCTGGTCTTTTGCC